GAATATGACTGAAAATTTTCATTTTTTCTGAAAAGGTGGTGTCTATTTAATTGTGACCACGCTGTGTACATATATACTATTTATACCTTCGGTGTATAGGACGCAGGCAGATTTTGGCATCAAATTTTGGGGTAAAAAAGAGCGTCTTATACACTGAAAAATACGGTAAGTAAAGACGATTTGAAGCAGCCTAAAATGATTTACAAATTAGCCTATGATCATTTATACATCAAATTATTCCCTAAAATAATAATAATTAAAAAAATAAACTGCCAGGAAATGTTTGAAGAATGAGTTTTTAAATTTTGAAAGAAAGTCGTGGAAATGTACTTAGAAAACCCTCAGTAATTCTATACGGATAGTCCCCCCTCGGGACTTACAAAGCTAAACTCGGGGGTTCGATTCTCCACGGTGGACACAGCAGATAGCCCGTTGTGGCTTTGGTTTGTTATAAACAAACAAACAAAATATGTGGACATTTCAATTTTTTTCGTTGGCTTGGGAGAGGAGTACTCCCACTAAAAAAATTGTCCTGGTTTTTTATGTATTAAATCTGGTCGCTTTAGCACCACTAGCTATTTATGGACACGGTATTGAGAAGATTCCATCCCATTTATGGGCCTGCTGTCACGAGACAAGTAGTCCGACCAAGTAATTCGGTAAGGGAACAGTTAAGTATTTACTCTTCGAATATTTCCTCAGATAGAATGGGTGGGACTGGCTCAGATAATAACATTTTGGTATACCAAGATGGTGTCTTCCGAACAAAAAAGGTTCGCGAAATGGTTTGCTTGGGGGGTCTCAGAAAACGTAGAGAAAATCTCTTTATAACTTCCCTGACACCAGTCATAGCAATATGTCTACCGACATTATATTTATTTGGACAAATATGACTGCACGACGTTGTTTACACCAACTGTTTTTTATAAAAGAAAATATTTCAATGAAAGTGAGGTACCTGAGAGTGGCACATTTTCACTAATAAGGTATAAACTAAACATAAATACGTATTTTCGAAAAGTCTGGAATAAAATTCTACATTTTTATAGAAAAGAAATAGAAGAAGTTACCTTTACTGGAATCGAATTTATCCCCTATACAGATTTTCAAAATTCCCCACAAATGAAACACAGCTGCTAAGGTGAACAGACACAAAATCGATGCTTTCCAACGCACCATCCTTAATACTAAAAAAATAGAAAACATTATTTTTTACGCAAAAATCTGATTTTGTTAAACAAATTTACATTCTTCAAAGGTTAAAAAGTGTGCATAATACAGAAGAGAACAAGGCAAAACCTTTACCCAAATGATGACGGGTGTTATGTGCATTATAAACTTATTACAGGTGAATAATCGTTTTCAAATGGCAGTATTGTGTGTCACAAATGTAGCTCTAAAATAGTGATTTTGTATGTCACAATATCTGTTACTGGTACTGTAATTTGTCGCGAAATTAGCTTTAAATCGTGAAGTATATAATACAGAGGTTGAGTGCATCATATATAAACGATTTGGGAACCTCGCTATGTCGTTACAGACCATGCTCTATCTGATGACCGTGCGTCCTGACAGTAACTCTGCAACATAACCTCCATTGCAAAAGGTTCTGTGGTAAGCCTATTATGTTCAAAGCACATCCCTCCTCCTTGTATGTTTTCTATAATCCATCTACTATACGAGTCCGGTTCGACATTTCGATTGTACAAAAATCATAGGCACTGCATCCCGTGACTTGACCAGTACATCTTTGTGTGGAATAGCATGAATACCCATTTCATTTGTCAGTTGTATGAGGTACGCAACGGTTGAAATGATATCGTGGAAACAACTTGTATACGCATAACTTATATCGCGTTTCCAAACAGAGTTGTGTTAGGTACCATTGCTTGGGACAAGTGGACGACATTTGCCATATACCTTTGTGTTAGTGAATTCTCATTTATTACAAAACGCCACATTTTGCTTATTACAGCAGGGGTACGACTTGTTGTAAGTCTTTCAATGGATGATCTTAGTACCCCAGGTTGATCCATATTCTTTTGTTTTTCAATCCTATTAAATGTCATGGATATTCCTTTCTTTGAAATTCCAAATCCTCGATCGGAGCACCTCTGTATGATCTGAGTGTATAAATATTTTGTGTCAGAAAGGACTGCTACATACCATCCCAAAAGCAATCAATATTCAGTGGCATCACATTACCCACAAATTCCAAATAACGCCCGAATGTATTTCTGATACTTGACGTTCCACCGCAAATTTATATCGGCTAGAGTTGTAATTTGCATATTCAAAATCGTTTTGATATAACATATTCAAATCCCTGTATAATACAGTCATCCTGAAATATAATTATTTACAGGAAAGTAGGCGCTACGGGATGACACAAAGAGGCCTTGGTCGTCCAGTTAAATCCTCGTTCCCCAAGAGCTCAGCCCCTTTCCCAGTTTTACCAAGCCGTAAATGAATCTACAAGATGTAGGGTTTTAAAATACTTATACTGTATAAACGTTAGGCTAAGTGTGTATTTGTCTTAGGAAAAATGCTATAAAATCTTAAAAAAAGAACAACAACAACACTATGTTTGATGGTTGCTAGTTTAGGAGTATTGCAATTACTTACCCAAGAGCTGATTTAATTTTCAATAATTAAAAAAAAAACAATAATGTGCTTTTAAACTATAAATAATCATCCATAGTCATAGTTTGAGTTTTTTAAATTTTTCTAGCATTGAAAACTATCGCTATCGAATCAAGAATTTTGAGAGAGGGGAGGCGTAACCTAGTGTGGCCAGGATCAAGTTGTCCACTTTAAGGGACAAGAGATCATAAAAAGCGGCTCCATAGACAAGCATGGTTTCAATTCATATTTAAGTGTTTATGTTCAAAGTAGTTGGGAAAAAGCAACTGCAAAACAACAGTTCGAATTATATTTTTGTGCCATATTTTTAACGTACAGTGTAGTTAAGAATAACTGTAGATGGACTTAGTCTTTGTAATTAACTCATTTTAAACTGTAGTCAATTAAAGTTGCTATAAGTCCTTTACCAAAAACCCTTATTTTCAGTATTCATATAAATACAATGATATGGAATGAATAATTCTCAATTTCATTGTAAAGTAATATCACATACACACACATTGTTACTGAATATCACGGCTCACCAGCTAAGGCATTCGACAGCTTTAAACTTGGTTTCATTTGTTTACAGTATTTGAATATTTATTACAACACAGTAAAACAAATTCTTGAAAACTTGAAGAATAAAAAGCTTTTTTTTTAAAGTCATATTTCGTAACAGCACACAATTTTAGAGTTTCATTATTAATATTTTTTTTTTCTGTTCGTTGTCTGGTCCTGTAGAGCTTGTAAATCGTGATAAAGGGCGGGAATGTCCTAAGATCCTGTACAACTTTTGACTGATACGAGAGAAGCTGAAGTTGAGGTGATAACACATTCTGAAAATGTAATAAGAATTAAAGGAAGTCCTCTCCTGGAACAATAGCATTCACAATACGTGCTGATAGCTGTGTCTATATTTTCGATATATTTAAAACCGAAAGGTTCTGAAGCTGTTAGAGGAAATTTGGCTACTGCAACTGGACCTCTGTTGATTATCTCTAATATGAAGGGTGGCAAAGATGAGTCTTTGTGGTGACAATCAGATTGGATCACCCGATACTTCAGGTGTAGTTTCTATAGCCACATACAGTGGCCGTAACCGACTTGAAACGTGATATTGACGCACATGCGCATGCGCCGTGAAATAATTGCAGTTGACTTTTTTTGGGGAATGCCACATTCATCAAGATGAGTATGTCTACAGAACTAAGTATATAGAGAAGATATGAAAACATATATTAAACAATCGTGTCAGTGACGTCTGATGGACTTTCTGCGAACGTCATCAGGGTTCGTATGATGTGAAAAACTTTAAACCATCATTCCCAGATCCAATGTACGCGTGTCACATGTTGAGGGGTTTTAGAAATATGTTACCAGATAAAAAGAAAGTTAACTGATGTGTATGAAAATAGAATTTTATGGAAATATATTACAGGGAAGAGAAGAGTTTTGACTCGCTTACAAAATTAACAGTCATGAATGATACCAGCAAAGTATGGACGTTTCATTAGAGGCTCAAGTGATGAGAGCATCTGTTGCAACAGCATTGCTATTTTAGCAGGATGATTTGTAACTTTTCTCTTTCCAAGGATGTTGAAAAACTCTAACGCTTCCCTTGGAGATTGGCCAACTGTTTGACTAATTTAATTCCAAAACATCCTGAAGCTAAGTCCTATAAAGCATACTTTCGCTATATTTATGAGACTTTTATAATTTTACGTGTCAAACTATGAACTGAGCCAAGATCAATAAGAACAGTTCTCTAGCCCTACTCGTTCAAAAAAATGGGTGGAATAGCAATCCAACAGCAGCTTATCCTAAATATTCGTATATTATTGCTTCATGTTAACAATAAGGTAAAAGTAAAAACACCGGAAACTATGCTTTGGATTATAATACCAAACTGTTTACTTTTAACATGGTATTGAAAACGTTTCGGCCATTAAACCCTTTGATTTATACTATGCTGAAGCAGAAACAAGGGTCATTCGTATGCCGTGCCACACATTCAGTCATCCTTTAACAGTCTCACAGACTCTTCATGTGATGTTGTGTTTATACAGCTGGTTTTGTTATAATAAAAATGTATAGTGCTGTTCAGATTATTTGATCTGAGATACCAATCAAATATATAGAAGTTTTCCTCATGTGCAAAACCAATGGCGGACTTAAGGTTCAATCGTCACATTTGTCTTGCTCGTGAATAAAACAACCGTAAGAGAGTATTAGCCAAGATGTCTGTAGTTAGGTGTTTCAAGCTGAGAATGGATTATTGGATTCTTAAGTACTTAGAAGGTAGAAGCAGCTTTACTTCCCTTTAGAAACATGTAGTTCATGAACCATCCCAATCCACTTTATTGTGTTCATGAAAATGATAATTAACGAGTATCTGAAAGTGATGCCTTACCACCATGGAAAGTGTGTCACATCTCAACCTACTGGCAAACACGCAGGAAAGAAATGCTTCAAATCCGTTCTTTCTTCGTGTCAGTAGTTTATTGAAATTCAAGTATTTAAATTTCACAAGTTTTGAGATGTAACCATGTCATCATGACAAAACCTCGTCGAAACGTTATACATTTGTTACTGTGTTAAATTTGCAGCAAAGTTTTCTTCGTTGTCTATTAGAATCGTCTCTCAGCTTTTTTAGTCTTAATGTGGATTTCTCACCGTCATATTTGATTTCATGACTTGCTTTATTTTCTACGTCAAGCTGTGTACCACATGCCGCTCCTATTTCTTCATATCTCTATGTTTTCCGATCTGTTTCAGCAGTGGTGCATGCTCAGTGAAAGAAGAGTGAGGTCATCTGGTTAGGTTAGTCACGTCTGGTTTGAATAGCAGCATTCCTGTTGACACGATTAAAATATATTTATACTTTTTTTTATCTATTTCAACTTGATTTGAAGTTTTCATAGTAAACTTTTGTATGCGTAGAACTGTATGTTTATAATATAGTAATGACACACAGCGTTATCTTTCCACTGTTGTTATGTTGCTACTAGAGTCAGAGTAAAATCCACGTGTTGACTAATTTTTGGGTTAACAGAGGGGAGATATTTTACGTTTTCAAGTATTTAAAGGGGACTGTTTTCATTACCAGTTAGCGTAAGTCCTAATTTTTATATTATACTTTTCGATTTTTATAATATACAAAATATTAAAATTTTCTTTTGTACACAGTTTTCTGGAAACTCTTGTTTTGATATTTCTAGTGGTGAAAATCAGAATATTAAATAAATATGCAATTTTAGCTTTTGTCTGAATGAATCAATTACGTTTTATCGTAAGCTAAATAAATTATGATATTATTATTATTCATTTCTCTAAACATTTTTATTGGGCCCTCCAGAGGGTCAGCGGCAAGCTTATGGACGTACAACACTAAAGCCTTGGGTTCGATTCCTCATGGGAATATGCAATTTTAGCTTTTATCTGAATGAATCAGTTACGTTTTATCGTAAGCTAAATAAATTATGATATTATTATTATTCATTTCTCTAAACATTTTTATTGGGCCCTCCAGAGGGTCAGCGGCAAGCTTATGGACGTGCAACACTAAAGCCCTGGGTTCGATTCCTCATGGAGGACAGAGCTCAGATATACCACTGTGTATGTTTGCGCTAAAAATCAGAAATACACACAAAAACACACGTCACTATTTATTAGATGCTCACTCCTTGGGCACGGTTGTAAATACACTTGAAAACTATCGTTCCAGAAGTTTTATAGCTGACTTCTAATAATGACATTTCCATTTTGTATATTGTGGACTCATGATAATATGATGAGCTTTTCTGTTGGTAGAATACAATTTCATTATTGTGGACACACGGTAATATGATGAGCTTTCCTGTTCGTAGAATACGATATTTATTTATGTACTTTTCCTTTGATCAATTTTTGTACTGTCATAATATTGTTACGACAGCGGAGGTCACGTGCCTCTAGTAACACGCCACGCACTTCTAGAACGTTCATGAAGCGTCGGGAGACTACTAGATATGAGGTAGTCTTGTATATATAAGACGGTCACAACGTGACGCTAACAATGTGTAATTGAGCTGCGGACAGAGTATTGTTGAGTTGAGCACGTGAGACGTTCGTTGTGAATTATAGCGTTTGTTATAGCGCGACTGTGGAAATTAAGTCTATTGCAAAGTTGTATTCAGAAAGAATAAACCAGTTTTATTTAAGAAAGGACTTGTGTCGCTAAAGTTTCATCGGAACGAAATTTACGGAAAATTTACTAACGAACGGTGACGTAACAATATTAATAAAGTGATATTCTTAGCACAATTGAGAAGTATGCTCCAGAGATGCCGTTAGTGTCCTTGTATACAGTATGTTTAGTTTGTTGCATATTGTTTATTGGTTTGAATTTCGCGCAAAGCTACACGAGGGTTATCTGCGTTATCCGTCCCTAATTCAGCAGTGAAAGACTAGAGGGAAGGCAGCTAGTCATCACTACCCATCGCCAACTCTTCGGCTACTTTTTTTACCACCGTCTACCAGTGGGATTCGCCGTCACATAATAACGCCCCTCATAAGCTAAAGAGTGTGATGGACATTGCTTACGTCGAATGTGGCTAGAGAAACGTGTACTTTTATACAAAAGTAAACACTTTTGTACGGGATTTAAAAGTACGTATATATAAAAATAATTCACTATGGTTCTGTCTACTTTTAATTACTCGGTTAATATAGAAACATATCTACCTGAAGTTATATCGTATAACATTCTAAATGTTTAAGTGTCTAAGTTTCCACAAATTATTGCCCAACATTAGTTTCAAGGCACAAAACTGCATCTGTGGTGTTGGTTGGTATGAATTACTTTGGCCGTGTTTCACAAGTAAACAGACACAAATCTCAAGGTGTGGCGAGGCGTTTGTCACTATGCGGAAATATACTACTCATATTTGTTTTATTGTTAAGTACAAAACTAAACAATTTTACGTGTTATAAGCTGCTAAGCCAACGGTTGGAGGGGAGAATGTATATCGTATATTATAAAGTTTTATATGGAAATATAAAAAGTAATCTGTACGGTATCTCACCTCTAAAACGTAACACTTGAGAAGTATGATATAAATATAGCTGTGATAGTGATGTAAACTCTACATGATGATATCAATATATCAAACAAACGTAGCACAGCCTTAACACGCTGTTTTTTTAATTTCGCGCAAAGCTACTCGAGGGATATCTGCATTAGACGTCTCTAATTTAGAAGGGATAGACTAGAGGGAAGACAGTTACCTGTTTGGCTACTCTTTACCATAAAATAATGACACTAAACGTCACATCATAACGCCTCTATGACTGAAAGGGTAAGCGTAATCAGTGACGGGATTCGGACCCTCGACTTTCAGATTACAAATCGAATACACTAGCCACCAGGTTCTGGAAAAAACTTAATTGTGTGAAATAAAATGTGTTTCTACACTGGAAGTATTATATTATACACTTATAGTTTTAACCCATGGACTGCGGCTGCTTCAAACGCGACCCGTACACTGTATAAAGCAGATCGTAACCTGTAAGGCGAATCAGCAGCAGTCAGTGAGTTAATAGAAAGTCATATAAGACATAAAGTAGAAGAAAATATTGCAAGTACATTACTTAAAATCTACTTACATAGAGATACTGCTAAAGATAGATCAGTCCTAACACGATTCGGAAATCGAAGGAAGGTGTTATACCTATGCAGATATCATACTGACCTCTCTACACTTGGAATTCTTTTATGACACGCGAGTTTGTATAAAAAAATCCGATAAATGATTCTTGCGCCTGCGTGGCTGCAGCACGAGCGAATTTCTAGCTTCAGTTGAGTTAGTGGAAATATAAGAAACGTATTTTCGAGATAGATGTTGAGCTGCGTTATATAATCTAAACCACAGTCATATAGATTGCAACCTTTTTGTTCCTCTGTACCCCTTGGCCTTGGGCATTCTGACAGGTTCCCATGTACCCTTAAAATTACGGATTTAAAATTGATAAAATTATATTGATTTTATATTATTTTATTATGAAATCTGTACACTGAGTGGTCACAAGTAAATAGACACCTAATTTTTCGTCATTTAACTGATTTATGCT